ATTCTAGAGCAAAATTATTCCAACCTAAAATTCCTTACTCAGACCAACTATCAATCAAGTGGGAGAGTACAATAAAGATAATTTCAGAATTGCAAGTTTTCTAAAATGAATTTCTAATGCAACCTTTCTTAAGAAGTTATTAGTATACAGGGTGGCCCCCAGGAAAAGGGTAGGTTCCAGATTTTTTGCCCCACCCAAGGAAGGGTGGAGCTGAGCAGGGAGGTGAGGACGTTGGAGAGGAGACTGGAGAAGGAAGGAAGGAAGATGGGGAGCAAGAAGGAGACCTGGAGGAGGCACATGGAGCAGAGAGACATGTGAAGAAGCTGCTTACTTCTTGGCCTTGGATTGGTTGAAACAGATGTGGGCGAGAGACCCATGGGGAGGTTAACAACGGCGGCTTTTATCTTGATTTCTTTTTGCTGCTTCTTGCCAGACCCCTGCTGCCTCTTCCCTGCAGGTTCCCACCAGGGAGTGCCTTAGACTTGTGACAGCCTTTCAGACCTCAATGGCCCTGCTTTGGGCCAGCCTTGTTTGGAAACTTTATTCTTTGTCTTTTCTTTGTTGCAATCCAATTGTATTAAAGTTCTTACGCACTAGTATTAAAGGCCTTACGCACTAGAGTATCCTCCATCTTGATGTGGTGGATGGCAGAACCAAGAGCCAGCAGATTTGGTGCTCTGGGGTACCCCTCACCCTGCCCTGTAATGTAAGGATATATACTCTACCAAAATGTGAGTCAATCCAAGAATGAAGAAGATAAGACACGGGTCCATTAAATAGGAGCTTGAACACAGGTAGGAGGAAGGGATTCCTAAGGATCGTGGAGACTGGAGATTCCAAAGGGAAAAGGGGAAGAGATTCAGAATGTTTGGCTGTGTACCAGGCAGGAGTAAATCCAGGTTTTGTGGAATGCAGAGTTTATACAATTTGGGGATCCTTTTTAAGAAGATAAAATACAGGGCCTCCCCGGTGGCGCAGCGGTTGAGCGCTGGGTTGCGAAGCTGCCCGCAGCCTCTGCAGCACCAGTTCAATCCCCGGCTGCTCCCCGGCCACCAAAGGAGGGTCCCACATGGCACGCAGACCTCTCCTGCCGCCCGCTGCTCCCCTCAGCAGTGTGCTTCGATCCTTCTGCCTGCTCTGCTCCCCACTCTGGTGAATTCTCTCACCCTCCCGCACTTCTGGCTGTACCCAGTGCTTGTATGTATAAACAAACAAATAAATAAATAATAAAGCTTTTAAAATAAATAAATAAATACCATTGTGACTTATTAAAAAAAAAAAGAAGATAAAATACAAAATTACCAATACAAAATTAAGTATGAAAGTGAACATTTATTTAGAATAAGAAATCATAGCAAATTACAAAATTCAGAAGCTATAAATGCCACAAACATCACAACATCCAGAAAAACAGAATATTTTTTCCAGTTTTATTGTGATATGATAGACATACAGCATTATGTAAATTTAAGTGTACATCATAATAACTTGACCTTACACCTTGTGAAATGATCACAAGTATAGTTAACATCCATCATCTCATACAGATTTTTTTAAAAAGAGAGAAAAATGGTTTTTCCTTATGATGAGAACTCAGGAGTATTCTAACAGCTTTTAAATATATCATGCAATAGTGCTAACTAGAGTAATTATGTCATACATTTCATCCCCACTACTTATTCACCTTTGTACATTTTGTCCATCTTCAACCAACTGCCCCAGTCCCCAAGGATAATATTTGTATGCGTTAAGTGCTTGATTCATGTTTATTCTACTTCCCCCCACCCCGTTTTCAGCTGCATCATTTTCCTCCCAACAGGTTATTATGAAAATTAAAAAGCCTATAGAAAAGTTACAAGACCTTTACAATGAACCATAAACTTACCCCAAAAATCTACACTTAAAATTTTGTGATACTGTGATTTATAATAATAAACATATATTTAGTTTCACCCCTAACCCCTGAACAGGCACTCTGAAACCCTTGTAAATATCAAAAAGACAAAAGCACTGGGAGCATCTTTTGTTCTAATGAGAGAACTCTGAGTGGGTGTCTCAATGGCTCCTGCATAGGGCCTGATCTTCAGATAGATTCTAGTTGAGTCTAAGGCTTAGACTACTTAGCCCCCTCGCACTTCTATAGGGGGAAGAGGTTCTGAAACTGGAGTCCATAACTGATCTTGCCTACCTGAGGAAGCCTCCAGATAACCCATCTCTCTGATGCTCCCAGGAGGGTGACACACACAGTCCCACGAGGACAGAAATTTCTGTCCTTGGGTACCTGTCAGACCTCACTGAAAGCACCTCTTCATCTGCCTGGGCATCTATATCTTCTAATATATCTATATACTATACTAGTATATAGTATATATACTATATATATATACTATATCTACTACATATACTAATATATACTATATATAATATACACTGTATATACTATATACTAATATATACATATATACCTAATATATACTAATATATCTTTACCTTACAGTATATATCTAATTATATCTGATACATACTATAAGATAAAGATACCGTATCTTCCAATATATATTGATTACTTAAGTATTTACTGAATTCTATGTTTCTGAGTTCTGTGAGCCCCTCTGACCAATTAATCAACCCTGAGGAGGAGATCCTGGGAACCCCAAATTTATAACCCACATGTCAAAAGCACAGGTGAGGACCTGGACCTGTGTTTAGCATCTAAAGTAAAGAGGGTGCTGTCTTGTGGGATTGGATCCTTAACCTGTGGGATCTGATTCTGTCAGAATTGAACTAAATGGGAGGGCACTGGTTTGGTGTCACAGAGAATTGTTTGGTGGGGCAAGACCCCCTGACATGTGGTGCCAGGGTGTGACAAGTGTGGTAGTAGTTGAAAGGAAAAACTCAGTGTAAACGCTGGGTGTTTTTCCTTAATTCACTGACTTTATTGCAAGTTTATCTGTCCATCCTTTCCTCTAATCATCCATCAGTTCATCTTTTTTTTTTTTTTGAAGGATTACAGATAGAACAAGAGCAAACATCTGTACATCTCTCACCAACTGCTTCAACATGCATATTACTAATAGGAGATCAACATCTTTTACATTTCTTTTTTAAAATTTTTTATTTTTTACATCATTGTTCATTTTTAAACAATATTTGCTTTCCCCCACCCCCTCAGGTGTAGTCCCCATAGAATTTCCTTCACCGTTTCACCCTTACACCATCACCTCAGTCCCCCTCCCTCCTTCTGATCCCTCTCCTGCCTCCTCCATGCAGTATGTCTCTGATTTATAATTGTCTGCTTTTTCTTTTACATTTCTTTTTTTTAAAGATTTATTTTATTTATTTATTCATACAAGAACTGGGGTATAGGCCAGAGGTAGGGGGGTGAGGATTCACCAGAGACAGAGTGGGGAGCAGAACAGGCGGATCTACTGAAATACACTGCTGAGGGGAGCAGCAGGCAAGAAGGGAGAGGTCTGCTGCGCCAAGTGGATCAGCTCCCTGGCTGGGGATTGAACTCATGAGACAGTGGCTGGTGATAGCTGGATAGCGCTGAGATTGAACCCCTGCATCAGCAGGGAGGCCCGTCCCTTACATTTCTTGCTTTTTTTCTTTTGAAGCAAAATTTACATACAATGAAATGTAAAATTCATAAACGTAGGTTGCAGACTTTTTGATCACCCTTTTCATATGACAATAATTTTGTAATATTTTCTTTAGAGAGAATGGGAAGAGAAACCAGACTTTAGAATGGTTCATCAAAATCTATTTTCACTACTGATAGTAAAAATGTATATAATAAATAGTTTAACATAGCATAGTATCGTTTGTAATACCGCTACAAGTTTGTGCAGAATTCTGATAAATTCTATTTATGTATTTCCCACCAAAAAAGAAAAAAAAGTATAGTACACTTGTAATTGTATATATTCTATTTTCTAGTATATTACTGATAGGAGAGAACTTTCATTTTAAGTAGGCATTGCTGAGAACTGACTCCATCACCTATAATTCCCTAAACCTGATGCATGGAAACATTTTCCACAGACTAGTTTCTGGTCCTAAATATTCAGACCTAGTTCTCTGTCCCTATTCCAGACACCCTAGAACTTGTTCATATCTCCTTATAAGCCATGAACCTTCTTGTTGTTACAACCCTGGGTGAGTTAGCATAGCAGGTAGTACTTTCAGGACTATCCCTGGAGCAATTCCCACTAGCATGACTGACAATAACCTTGCTTTATGCAGACATTATTGCAAACTTATAAGTAAATCCAAGTAAACCCAAACTGACTGGACGTCTAATTTCCATTTAGCTGGATCCTAAACTGTAATGTGAGAGGAAGTTTGACAGAGGGAAAGTTGGATAGGAAAGACACTCTAATTTAACCAATCACGGTGAAAATTTTTAAATTTTGCACTTTAGAAACTGATGTTCACAGCCACCGCTGGGGGCCCTTGCACTCTAACACCAGTGCCACCTGTAGCTCACTGAGCTTCTCCTACAGAAGGAAGGTAGGGAGGCCTCTATATCATGGCTCATACAAAGTCGACCGCTTGCAAATCCACCAATGGGAAAGCACCAAGGAAGCAAATGTCTACAAAACCCATTGGCAAGAGTGTACCTTCTACTAGCAGGGTGCACCTCACCATTTCGGGCAGGGTACTGTGGCACTCTGAAATTAGACCTTATCAGAAGTCCACTGAACTTCTGATTTAACTTCTCTTCCAGCATCTGGTGCTAGAAATAGCTCTAGACTTCAAAACAGGTCTGTCACCCAGAATGCAGCTATTGGTGCTCTGCACAGGTAAGTGAGGCCTGTGTGGCTGGCCTTTTTGAAGACACCAACCTGTGTGCTGTCCATGCCATACATGTAACAATTAACCTATAAGATATTCGGCTAGCACATCACATGTGCAGAAGGTGCTTAAGAATCCACTATGATAGGAAACATTTCATTCTCAAAAAAAAGAGGTTAGTTTTTTTTCCAAATGTGGTCAAAGTTTACCTAAGTACAGCATGCAAATAGAAAAATAGGGGACAGAAATCAGGTATTGTCAGCTTTTCCATTTTTACTTGTATGCGAATTTTTTTAAAGATTTATTTATTTACACAAGAACTGGGGTACAGGTCAGAGGCAAGGGAGGGTGAGAGACTTCACCAGAGACAGAGCAGGGAGACGACAGGCAGACGGACCAAAGATACCGCTGAGGGGAGCAGCGGAAAAGGCAGGAGAGGTCTGCTGCGCCATGTGGGTTTCTCACTGGCCGGCTGGGAATCAAAACCATGCTGCAGAGGCTGCGGACAGCTTCACAGAGCGGCGCTCAACCCTCTGCACCACCGGGGAGGCCCCTGTATGTGAATTTTTAATATAAATGCAGGGACATAAAGCATGAATATAGGTCAAGATATTTCAATGAACAAGTTTCAGCAGTTCAACTTTATAACAATCATAAATAAACCTTTAAATTTTTCTGGGCAATGCCAGCATTTTTACTTTTTTGAAACAAATAAAATTTCTTTTGGATAGCAACTAGTCACTGTATTTTTCTGAGTTGTTCTACATGCAAGAACATGTTTTTAATGATGTCTGTCTTCTGTGCTGTTCCTGTAAGTGTGCTATTAAAATATATTAAATTATAATAAAAAAGAAAATTTTACAAAACTCATGATCAGTTGGATACATTTTTAAGGCAAAGAAGGGTCCCTGATGCTGAAACCACATTAGCTTTATGAAAATACACTTCTGACGGTGATGGTGCAGGGTGCATTGGGGAAGGAAACTCCGTGGGGACTACACCTGAGGAGGTAGGGGGAAGCAACTGTTGTTTAAAAATGAACAATGATATAAAAAATAAAAAAAGAATATAAAAAATAAATTATAACAAAGGGAAAAAATAAAATAAAACTGTTTATTATTATAAAAAATACTATTCAGTCATTAAAAAAAGATGAAATCTTGCTGTTTTTTACATAGGTCGACAATTTAGCTGGTTATGCTAAGTAAAATAAGTAGGAGGAGTATGACAAATACCACAGTTTAGTCATTTGTGGAATATAAAGCAAGCAAACTAAACAAAAAAAACCAAACTGAAAACAAAATTGTGCTGATGGTAAATCAGAGGGGGCAAGTTGGTTGGTGGTGGATGGTGTCTCAACATTTAGTGGTGGGCATGGTGCCATATATACAGTGACTGAGACAAGAATCTGTATACCTGAAACCAGTAGTGTTTTGTAAACTAAAGCTACCTAAATTTTTAAAAAAGTCAAGAAAAAAAGACAATACACCTCTGACACTAGGCTAACAGGGTGGTCAGTCCATTCAGGGGTAGGTCAGAAAATTCCAGGAAAGAATTCTACAACATAAAATGAATAGTCAACTGGACATATTGCAAAATAGTGAGAGATTTAGACAACTGGTAAAGAGCTGGAGAAAACTATGAAATGGAAAAATAAAACAATTATTAACTCCATGGAAAACAAAAAGTTGTTTAAGAAAAGTCATCATTATTTATGACTCAGCTATAGATAACATTTATCTATGACTCAGCTATAGATAACTTTTATCAGCATAATAATGTAAACTCTGAAAATGTACCTAAGTGAATCAGGAAGACAGAGGAATAGGCAGAGTTTGTGCATATGGTGGGGGCAGGGCTAAATCCTCATCTTTCAGAACGGGAAGTGCATAGATAATACCTAAAATGGAAAAAAACTCAGGGAGCAGTAAAAGGAAACTATTTTGAGATATAGAAGCAGCTAAAATAATTTTGATTGCTTCTGAGATGGCAGAAATGGGGGAAGGGATGTGGGACTCCTTCAGCTTTTCCCTTTTCTTTTTCTTTCTTCTTTTAAACATACTTTGTGGAACTATGTATTTCTTGAAATTTGCACATGAATATTTTGATAAAAAATTTTAATTTTGATAAAAATTAAAATGAAAAAACCCACTCATAGCCTGTATTCCAGGGACTTCAGCTCTAGAATTTTATCGATCCCACAGATATACCCACATGTGTATAATTTCATTTCTACAAGGTTGTTTATTGCAATATGGTCTGCAAGAACAAAAGATTAGAAATGGTTTAAATCCCACCAAGGAGGAATTGTTAAATAAATAAAACATACATCCTTTGGAATATTAGGTAGCCTGTTTTAAAACTGAGACAACTCTATATATTCTGATATGGAGAAATCTTCTAAATTTAAAAAAAAGGCAGGAAGTGTTCATGAATGTTATCATTGGCAGAAATATGAAAATATACCTATACAAAAACTCTCTTGAAGGACACACAAGACTATGGAAATAGTCGTCTCCAGAAAGGGGAACTTAATATCTAAAGGAAGGAGTAGGTGGCTACTTTTCATTATACCCTTCCATACTATTCAAATTGCACACAAGGTGATAATATTATCTACTGAAAAATAAACTTTTAATTAAAATTTTTAATACAAAATGGAAAAAATATAAAATTAAATGAAGTCAATAACAAAAAAGATGACCTTGATAAGCTGACTTTAGGGAGTAGAAAATCCCAAGATTGCCTGCCAGCATTCTATTCCCAAGAGGTAATTTATATCAGTGTAGCAGATACAGAAAATGTGATATTCTTCAAAAATCTTTACTTATGTGTTTGTATCATATATTGACTTATTTACTTTTTTATTGCTTGAAAACTTTACCAGCTGCTTTAACAACATTCCTACTCCAGGCTAGAGAAAACCCACTCTAATAGCCAAGAATGAAAAGGGGGGTAGTTAACCTTGTCCCCAGCAGAGAAAAGCAGAGCATGTATCCACAGACTTAACCATAGATGAGCCTACCTTGGAGTGTCTGTCCTAAAGCAGGAAGATCTCAGGTCAGTGCTTTGAAACCGTTTAAGAATAAAAGTTCTCAAAATTTTACCCATGATTTTTAAAAAGGGCAACTATTGATAATTATTTTAGAACCTGTTAAGGCACAGAGAGACTGGGTTTTAGTCTACTGCACATGAGCTTGGTTGTCTAATTATGGAAAAAAATAGAAAATAATTTCCCTTGAAATGGATACATAGCAGTAAGACAGGCATAGAGAGAAGATGAGCCTTCCAGTTGGAGACACCCTAGTTAAAATGCTGGCTTGGCTATTAATCAAGTGACAATTATGTCACTGCATTGATTAGCTATTTCTGTACCAAAAAACCACTCATAACCCACGTAATCATTTAGTTCAGAATTCTGTAGGACAGAAGTTTAGGCCAGTTACCCTGGGCTCTCTGCATTCCCTCACGTGCCAGTAGCTCCCCACAGGTTAGGAAGGTGGCTCTGCTTCTGGTAGGGGCTGCTTGTCATCTTGTACCTCTGTTCTCCTCCGGTGGCCTCTGTCTCCAGCAGCTGAGTCCAGTCTTGTTCTCACAGAGAAAACAGAGTCCAAGAAAGAGAACAGAAATGTGCAAGACCACATGTAGGCACGTCACTTTTACCACATTCTATGCACTAAATCAAGTCACAAAGCCAGCCCAGAGTCAAAGACTCCACTGAAAGACTGGCAGTCACACTGGGTACAGGAAGTTCATTAATGAGGGCCATAAAACTACAATCTCTCTACCACAGTGACTGAGCAAGTTGCCTTATCTCCTTGAGTCTTAGTTTCATCATGTCTTTTTTTAAATATATTTTTTTAAAGATTTATTTATTTATACAAGAACTGAGGTACAGGCCAGAGGTGCGGGAGGGTGAGAGAATTCACCAGAGACAGAGTGGGGAGTAGAACAGGCAGACGACTGAAAACACTGTGGAGGGGAGCAGCAGGCAAGGCAGCAGAGGTCTGCTGCACCATGTGGGAATCTCCCTGACCATCAGGGAATCGAACCCGAGCTGCAGACGCTGCGGACAGCTTCACAGCACTCCACTCAACCCACTGCACCACGGAGGAGGCCCTGTTTTATCACGTCTTAACTGAAGATAGTAACATGTAGGTGAAAAAATTTTAGTGAACCATGGGAATAATATGCCTGCTACTATTACTTGGCACAGAGACAAGATAGAGAATAGAGGTGCACAGCGGGGAGCCAATCAACTCTAAGAATTTATTAGCTTATCCAAAAACTTACTGCCACAAAGTCAGTTTTCCTTCTGTTCTTGATTCATTCAAATCTGTTTCAGCGCCAGGAGCTGTGCATTTGCTGCTCCCTTTGCCTAGAATTCTCTTGCCCCAGATCTTCAAGAGGACCTCTTTTCACTCAAAACTCAGGTCAGGGGCCTCGCTGGTGGCCCAAGGGGTTAAGTGTTAGCACTATGAAGCTATCTGCACCTACTGCAGCACAAGTTTGATCCTGGGCAAGGGAGGTGACCCACATGGCGCAGCAGACCTCTCCCGTCACATCCACTGCTCCCCTCCACAATGTATTTCAGTAGATCTGCCTGTTCTGCTCCCCACTCTGTCTCTGGTGAATCCTCTCACCCACTGCATCTCTGTCCTGAACCCCAGCCCTTGTATGCATAAATAAATAAATCTTAAAAAAAAAAAAAAAACTCAGGTGAGTTTTCTCCTCCACAGATATGCCCCTCTGACCAACCTAACTAATGCTCCTGTTCCCCATTTTCACCATCACACTCTACAAAGCCTCCATTTATTTTCTTCTAATATTTGTCACTATCTAAAAGTTACATAATGTACTCATTTGCTTACTTTTTTGCCCATTTCTACCACTAAAATACGAGCTCTATGAAAGCAGTGACTTTGCCTACTGTGTTCACTGATATAGCAGTAGATTCCCAGTAATGAGAATACAACTAGCTCTTAGTAGGAGCTTAATGAATATATGTTGAACTAATTACTCAACTAACTGATGGATGGATGAATAAATGAATATGGCACTAGGTTGGGCTCTGAGAGAACAGCGCATAGATTGGTTACTTTCACAGGGGGGATGCTGCAGACAGAACAGCCGATGAAGTTCTCTGCCATTAACAAAGACTTGGAGTCTAAATGAGTCTGCAATGGGGGGAGGCTGGGGAGAGCCATCGAGAGCAGCTCTGCCTTTTACTCTCCCAGCCCAAGCTCTTATTAAAGATATGAACAAAGGAACAAGAAAATAGCACGCAATTGTGTTTTTGCTTATACAGATTAATAAGTTATTGCTGAAAACAAGGTTTTTTTGGTTAGTAGGGAACATGCACACAAGCCAGTACATCCTCAGAAAACAAGAGTCAATTCTGGGAAGAAGTTCTGTTTGCAGAACTTCTAACAACCTAGAACTCCATATGCAGAGTAAACAGGTATTCTCCAAAAACTCCAGCTCCCTTTAGGGCAGCAGGCTCCCAACAGGGGGAAATAAGAGATTAGGTAGAGATTTGGAGTCTGGGTCCCAGTGGAAACCCCTGAGCAGAGAAGGCACTGGGTGCCTGAGAGTTACAGGTGGCCACCCAAATGGAACCCTTTTACAGTTCTGTCCACTCTTTGTTCGTCTTGCTCTTTCACCAATTGCATTATTCCTTTTTTTTAAAAAAAAAAGATTTATTTATTTATGTATACAAAAGCTGGGTTGTAGACCATAGTTGCAAGGGGTGAGAGGATTCACCAGAGACAGAGTGGGGAACAGAACAGGCAGACTGAGTGAAATACACTGTAATTACAGTTAAATGAGGTCATAAGGGCTCAAGTCCATTCAGTACTGGATAAGAAAGGGAGGAGACACCAAAGGACTCTCTCTCTACACATGCACAGGGGAAAGGTCATGTGAGGGCACAGCAAGAAGGCAGCTGTCTGCAAACCAATGAAACAGACTTCACCAGAGACCAGCCTTGACAACTCCTTGATCTCAGACTTCAAGTGTCTAGAATTGTGAGAAAATACATTTCTGGATAAAGTCATCTAGTCTGTGGTATTATGTTATGGAAGCCTAAGCAATCTATAAAGTTCTACCCCACTGACAGATTTTTTTTCTTCTGGGCTGTTCAATCTGTTGTGAGAAGATTCTCTCCAACTCTTTTTTTGGGAGGTACAAGCTGGTCACTAGTGTTCTCAGAACTGAGAGGGGGAAATGGGCTGAGATAAATCTGTTCAGTGTATAGACTTTATTTTTTTTTAAAGATAGATTTATTTATGCCTACAAGAACTGGGGTACAGGCCAGAGGTGTGGGGGGGATGAGAGGATTCACCAGAGACAGAGTGGGGAACAGAACAGGCAGACTGACTGAAATACACTGCTGAGGGGAGCAGCAGAGGCGACAGCAGAGGTCTGCTGCACCATGTGGGTAGCTCCCTGGCCAGCCCAGGGATCAAACTTGTGCTGCAGTGGCTGCGGATAGCTTCATAGTGCTGTGTTTAACCCCTTGTGCCACCAGGGAGGCCCCAGCATATAGACTTTAAATGAATGCCCTAGTACTCAGTACAGCATCCCTGGTCTCAGCTGTGCTTGGGACTCACCTGGTCTCAGGTGTCTCAAGTGTCACAGACCCTTAGGTGTGTCCTCTCTAGAGTGTAAACATCCAAGGTGGGACATGAGGTGATGTAATCTCTTGCTATATTGACTTTCAAACAATATTCTTCTTTTCGGCATCGTTTTCACCTATTTCTCAGATGAATATGATACTTCAGATTTCCAAATCTTTCAGGTTTCTGCATATGAATTAGCTTGTTTCTGGTTTGCTCTACTGCTGGCTTAAGCTTCAGCATTCTCTCATCTGTAAATCACTTCCTTCTTATCCCGTTGCTTTCCATCTTCCAAAATTATGGTGCGGTTATTCTCACTCCTATTATATCTTCTTATTTTGCCTTTAATGTAATGAGGTATTAAATACGCCATGTTTAACTGGAAGTTGAGGCTTAGCTCTTAATGCCCACATGAGAACATAAGATAAGACCTTGAGCACAAGAAACACTGGGAAAAAAACTAAGATCCACACATACAGCAAGGTTTTCAAAGGAATGCAACATGAATGAAAGCATATACAAGGAAAAAACTTACTGACCAGCAGAGGAAAATGACAAGGAAGCTTTTAACCCTCACTCTGAGCAGAAAAAAGAACTCTTCCTTAAGAACTTACAAATAGGGTCAATGCCATACAATTGAATTAAGGAATCACCAAGCCAAGAAGCCAACATAAAAACTGGCCCTGGGTATTGATGTTTCTAGAATGCCCAGCTATTCAGAAGCAAATGGGAAACTACTTTGGATGTATGTGTTCTTAACACAGCCCTCTTCAAAACATTGTGTTGTATTCCTGACTTATGTATGTCAGTTATGTCAATACTTTTCAAAAAAATCAGAAGACAAAATATTCTTAAAGTTAATACTAAGTGGGCCTCCCCGGTGGCGCAGCGGTTGAGCGCTGGGTTGCGAAGCTGCCCATGGCCTCTGCGGCGCCGGCTCAATCCCCGGCTGCTCCCCGGCCACCGGAGGAGGGTCCTGCATGGCGTGCAGACCTCTCCTGTCGCCCGCTGCTCCCCTCAGCAGTGTACTTCGGTCCTTCTGCCTGCTCTGCTCCCCGCTCTGGCTCTGGTGAATTCTCTCACCCTCCCGCGCTTCTGACTGTACCCAGTGCATGTATAAACAAAACGAACAAACAAATAAATAAATAAATAAAACATGCCTCTATTAAAAAAAAAAAAAAAAAAAAACAAACCAAAAAAAAAAGCTAATACTAAGTGAAGATGATGTCCAAATAGTAATTATAAAGCCCAAAGGGAAAAAATCACTTAAAAGAAGATCAGTATGCACTCAAAAAGGGAAATTAGTTTCCCAAGATTTGTTTCTAAGTTCAATAATCTGATGAACACTGCTGAATAACCGTATTTAAAAATATTAAAGGAAAACCACAATAAGATTATAATCTCACACTGGTGAGAATGCCTTACATCAAAAACACTGCTACCAACAAGTGTTGGTGAGGGAATGGAGAAAGAGAAACACTCATATATTATTGGTGGGAATGTAAATCGGTGCAACCATTTTGGAAAGCATAATTTTTCTTTTTTTTAATTAATAATTTTCTTTTTTTATTGCGGTATCATTGGTTTACAACTCCGTATATGATTTAGATGAATAGGAACACACCCTTCAGGTATGTTACCACACCACACCTGGATCCTCCATCACAGTCCACTGAGCTCCCTCCCCACTTTGGTCCTTTTCTGTTAGCCTTTCCTGGAAAAATTGCTATTTTCAGTTTTGTGAGATATAACAATATTGTTTTCCATAATGGCTACACCAATTTACATTCCCACCAACAGTATGAGAATGGCTGTTACCTGGCATTCCTGACCTAACAATTTCCTGCATTAGTAGATATACAGATACAGACTCTCATAGGACTACTATGAAGAACTGAAATTATTTAAATATGCAAGATATTTTTGAATTTGATACTTGAGAATTCTGTATTTAATTATTCTCTTATATGTAGACATTCTTTTATTAATAAATTATTTTATTTTATATAATTCTTACATCATTTTTCATTTTTGCATAATGTATGCCTTTTCATTTTGGTTATATTCCCCATACAATTCCCACCCACTTTTTCTGACCCTAATCCCTCTTCTCCTCCACACCCTCGCCCCTCCCCCCACTGTAGTGTGTCTCTGGTCTATAGTTGCTTGTTGATTTTGATTTTCACTTTATTGCAATTAGTCTTGTTCCTGGTCTCTTATTTAGGTTTTCTAAATTCCTGCTATGAGTGAGACTATCGGGTAATTTTCTTTTTCTTTCTGGATTATTTCACTCAGCATGAGCCCTTCCAGCTCCATCCATGTTGCTGCGAATGGCATGAGTTTTTCTTTTTTGACTGCTGAGTAATATTCCATTGTGTATGTGTACCACATCTTCTTGATCCAGTCATCTATTTTTGGGCACTTGGGTTGTTTCCATAGCTTATTGTAAATAAAAGCATAATTTTCTAATCTAGTATAACAATGATATTTCCATGAAATGTCCCTGCAATTTATTCAAAGAATTAGTCTTTGAGTTGGTTCGGTAGATTCCTTTTCCTTTGCAGCAAGATTTCTAACACATTCTAATAAATGGTCATAACCAAATTGATTGGATTTTTTTTTTTTGAAAATTTTTTTCTTAACAGCATTCAAACAAGCTATTGTTCACCTTGGTTACTAAAGAACGGGAGGATGATGGATGCCAAAGCCATAGAACGATAGCAATAGAACGCCACTTACTCATTCTTTCAACGAGTATTGAGCGCCTTCCGAATGCAAAGTACTTGAACGTCCAGAACGTGCCAGGCACTGCCCTAGGACCTAGGAAGGCAAAAAAAAACCGAGGAAAGCAGGGGGAGGGAGATAGAACTACAGTTCCCACAGTGTCTTGCCCGGCCGCTGCTCCCCAGGTGCGCGCCGTCTCCACCACCCTCCTCCCAGGATGCTGGCTGCGCCGCCCAGCCCCGCCCGCTCCCGCCCGCCGCCAGCAAATGGACTACAACTCCCACAACGCCCCGGTGGGCCCCGTCAGGACTCCGCGGCCTCCCCTGCCGGGCGCAGGCCGACTACAGTTCCCAGGGTGCCCGGGTCTCCTTTTTCGTGTTGTTGCCCCTTCCCCGGTGCTGGACGCCGTAGGGCGAGCGAGGGTGCCAGGTCCGGGGTCCTCTGTGTCCTTCCCCGAGGCTGGGACGAGGCAGAGACTTGACTTGCGGGCGCCGAGCCCGGGCGGGAGCGCCGGAGGCCGCCGTCTCTCTCGGCTGGTGCATTTCACCCGCTCGCCGTCTCCTCGCCCCGCGGCCGGCGGGACGGCCCCGCACCTACCGCCTGGGGCGCGGGCGGCGGTCGCGGCTGTCCGGACTGTGGCGAGGCCGCGGCCCTCGGGCGGCGGCAGCGGCGTCGGCGCTGGGGAGGACGCGGAGGGAAGATGGCGTCGGAGCTGGAGCCCGAGGTGCAGGCCATCGACCGGAGTTTGCGGGAATGTTCGGCTGAAGACACGGCGGGGGTGAGTGGGGCGACCCGGGCGGGACGTCCGGCCCTTGCTGGCTGCTGCCGTGGGGAGGACCCGGCTCCTGGGGATCCCGGAGCAGCCCACCCTGACTTGGGGTGACGGCCGCCCCGGGCTCTCTGCACTCGCCTGCTGGGTAATGGCCTTTGGAGGCCACGGAACCTGCCCCTGTATTTATGCCGAAATAGCCCCCCGGGCTGCGATGTGCATCAGCCACCTTTATATTCCCTTTTTGCTCAGGAATCCACAGCGCTTATTATTCCTCCATTCGTCCACATTCCCACTAAGTTCCCAAAACAAGGGCCTTTGCTCTTTCTGACACTAATTGTAAGAGGCGAGGGAAAAACGCTTCCTGGTTTTGGGGGTGCAGTCACCCTACTTGATCTTACCGCTTCCTTTTCTTGAGATGAGCAGTGCAGTCTTCCACCGGAGTGGGCTGCCTTAATAAGTCCCTGCTTTGTCTCTGGGACTCCCTTAGGCACCAGCACTCTCCCTTGGTGCAAACAACACTATTCTTCCTCTTTCCAAAGCCCTTCAGGTGCATTTTTTGCACCGGATTGGTCAGTCAACGAGAAGTGTCACGACAGGTTTGCTGAGTGTGAGAAAGTGGTAGTGGAGGCTGGGAGACTGAAAAAATAATTTTTGTACGAGTTGGGGATAGTTGAAAGGATTTGTCCTCCTTCTGTATAAGGAGTTAAGTTATATAACTTTAATAGAACAATTATCAGCAAATTGAAGTTAATAATGTGAGATTTGGTTACTGCATAGTGGGAACCTTACTGCCCCAAACTTCAAACCATTTAAACACGGTAGTGTACTGAATATGCTCCTCTAAGTAGAAGAGTTGTAAAATGATTAATAGACCCCATGTCATCTTTGCCCAAGAAGGATGGTGAATGGCCCTTAGAGCAAGTTGTTCAGAATGATTATGAGTGGACGAAAACCACTTAAAACCTCACGTCTAAGGCTTCCAGTTTAAAAAGCCACCGGGAAAGGAGTGACCTTTGGACACAATAATCCAATGCTGTAAACAAAATTTGCGGGGGGGGGGGGCACCATGGGACTGTTGGGTGAGGAGTCACTTGAGATGAGTTGATGAGGACACTGAAGTCAGGGTGGAAATAAATGAAATAAATGGCAGGACTGGAGATGGAAAGGTTTAAAGAAATGCATTATTGAATGGTGACAGTGGGTTGTTGTTTTTTTTTGGTTTTTTTTTTTTAATTACTTGTTTAGGCCAGGTCTGTTTTCATTTACTTTCTGCTTAATATTGCAACAACCCAAAGATTTTCAGCCCCCATGTGTCTTTCATTTATCAAAGATATTTGAAAAAGAAAATGAAAGAAGTGTACCAATTACAGTAGTAAAATGATAATGGCAGCTATCCCCTATCCACGACATTTTACCAATGTCTGTGTTGATGTCAAAAGCTCATGGCCTTTGGTTTATTCCCACTGAGTTCTGTGACTGTTGGACCAGTGATACAGCCTACTCTTTAAACTTTTCCCAATTCTAAAAGTGCAGACTATCAGGTTATTAGAGCTTCTTCAGCTTGTTGCTGAAGACCAACTCTGGTTCTCCTGTGGTGAAATTCTCAAACAAATAACAGTGGGGAAATTAAGGGAAATGCAGTCAGAATAGAACAATTTGGATTTAATGTGGATTGGTAGAAATCACAGTCTGAGGTATATTTTACTTTGGCTCTATTTACTTAGAAGTGGTTTTTCTGAACAGTAAGATGAATAAACTATTTAGTGTGAAGGCCAACAAAATTCCTGAAGGAAGATGCAAACTAATCGTAAAATACAAGCTACATCTGGCTAATATAACCTTGATGAGTGAAGTGTTTATTATCTGTATTTAGTTAAAAAGATTCTTAAAACTATTTTTTCCATCACTGTTCACTACTACAAATTAAAATGAGTTAATAAAGTTTCTCAGGCTGAAAGTAGATTTCAGAGAGAGTAAACAAGGGTAAAGAGTTGTATTGTAGTTTTTGGACCTCTGTTACTGGTAATCTGTTGGGATCACATTCATTTAAAATTACTTAATAAACACCAGTGTCGTCTTTCCCACATTTTTATTTACACATTGCTTTTCTTATTTCTATTAGGAGGAGGAAGGACTTTCTGTGATCCCATCTATCCTAACTAGTATGCCTCACAAATAAAAGCATTTAAGCTGACTCTTCAATAATTGTAAGTTTAGGATATTAAAGTAGCCATTTTTTCTCAGTCCTTTCCTTTTCTTGGTAGAATTGATTGCATGAGTATGACTTGCACAGTACTTGGTTGAGTCTGTACATTTTATGGTCCATTGATATGAGTGTGATATGCTCCAATGGATGATTATGATATAAGAAGTAAATTTTATATATAATTTATATATAGCTTATAATTCATACAATTCAATTCAGTGATTTTTAGTATATTCACAGAATTAGTTATCCAACCATTACCACAGTCAATTTTAGAATATTTTTATCACCTCAAAAAAGAAATCCTATACCTCTTAGCAGTCATTCTTTGTTTTTCCCTAATCTCCTGAAGTTTAGTCAACTACTAGTTTATGTTTTTATCTCCATACATTTACCTGTCCTAAAAATTTCATATAAATGGAATTGTGTTCCTTTTGTGACTGGCTTCTTTCACTTAGCATCATGTTTTCAAGGTTTACCAATGTTGCAGCATGCATCGTGCTTCATTTTTATTGCCAAATGATACTCACTGTATGGATAATACCATAGTTTATCCATTCATCATTCATGGGCCTTTGGGTTGTTTCGACTTCCTGGGATATTTTGAGTTGTGCTCTGTGAACATTCATGCACCGATTTTTGTGGGGACATGTTTTCATTTCTCTTGGGCATGTATATCAGGAAGTGGAATTGCTGGGTCTTATGGCAATTATGGGTGTAGCATCTGAGGAACTGCTAGGCTGTCTTCCACTTGACTGCTTTGTTTTATATCAGGAAGAGCAGAGTATGAGAGGGTTCCAGTGGCTCTCTCCACATCCTTGCCTGTACTTACCTGACTTTTTGATTATAGCTGCTCTGTTGGATGTGAAGTGGTATCTCAATGTAGTTTTGACTTGTTTTTCCCTTTTTATGAGCTTATTGACTATGTATTTCTTTTTCTGAAGTGTCAGTTCAGATCTTTTGCCTATTTTTAAATTAGCTTTTTTGTCTTAGTGAGTTTTTTTTTGTTATTTTGATTCGTGAATGGTTTTACTTCATTTCTAGAACTCTTAATATGTATGACTTGTTTAAAACTTTGCTCAATATAGTCCTGAAAACTATTTCAGCACTAGCAATTATTGTTTTGTAATTAACTTATGTGTTAAGTTATCTCTGCTTGACAGCAAAATCAGATGTGGTTAAAGGATACAGCTTAAATTGGATATAGGATAATCATCAGATACTGTAATAAAAAGGCTAACTTCTAAGGGTTTCTTCATTTTTGTGTTTATTGTATTTGCTCTCTATACCAGTGCTTAAACTTAGCATTCAAAAAAAATTGATGCTCCTAGAAAACAGTCTCATAACATGTTTACTTTGGTGGAATGAGTTGACAGTCTTTACTTCCCCTTATCAGTAACTTTTAATAAGAAAGTGTTTATTACTCTCTACTGCATGTTGATGTGACAGCCACAAGTGTCTGAAATAATGACATATTAGCATGCAACCAAATTAGAAATCTTAATAATTTTTCATATTAAATAAACAGTTACAGTTAGTTTGTTTGTGAAAGCTATTATGGAAAGCTGTGGATTTTGTTCTTTTGAGAAATAGGTGAGCCATTATTTTGAAAGACAGCTAGAAATTTTCCACCTGTTTACTTTCTCATCACAGCTTTAAAAAAAAAATCTATACTGTTGCCTGCAGGTCATTCAATATCACTATTATAAAATTCTCATGTAAAGGTACTTTGTATCTTAAGTGTTTCGGTTTAGTGACATAAAAGTGCTGTAATAGATCCGAAATCTGTTAGATGGTTTTGAATTTGGAGCATATGCTTGCTTTTCCTTTATGAACCAGATTTTTATGCCTTGTTAATAATTTGTAATATAATAAACAATACTTGCAACGAAATGCTAGCTTTACTAAAAATAAATTTTTATAAGGTGACTGATTATATTTTCTTAATCAGAAGCTATTTCTGCCTTTTTAAAGAAACCTATTAATATACACCCTAAATCAGTATATGATAATTGTCAATTATGCTTCAATTTAAAAAATGTAAAAATTAAATGAAAGAAATCTGACTAGATATGATGTGTCAGTGTTGTTGGAGCCACAAGACAACATAATTTCTTTTAGAAAGCCTCACCTTTTATTCTCTCTGGATTAAAATTCTGCAGAAGTGAACTTTTAGAAGTGGGAACATAGAAAATAATAAACCAAAAATTGCTTTTTAAAAACAAAACCTTTAAATGTGTTGTAAATTAAAATTTCCTGAAGCATAGCCTCAGGGTCATGAATGTTAATTCTTTGAGTGCTAATGTTTAACTTTTCATCCATAAAGAATATGTAGCTGAAGATAATTTGACTCCTTACATATTTTGAAATAGGGTTTTGCTGACAGTGGGTGAAAAATTGGACAGTTACCCTTGGATATGGCCAAAAAAGTGTTTTTTACCTCAAAGAACTAGATTCTAAGTCAGTTGCTTGGTGGTTGATGACTTTTTGCCTTTCCCGTTAGCTACATTTTTTTACTCCTCTTTTCTGTAATTGCTGAACTATGGAAATTGACTAGAAAGTTACCACATCATGAATATTTAAAAATCTGTATTTTTAGAAAGAAGGAAATGTGTTGAAGATTGTACAAGTAATTAGTAAAACCATACATTGTTGTATTATGGTGTTAGACATCATTTATACATCAGCTCTTTTTTCATCGAGAATGTGGTTTGGGACTCAGGTTTTGATCCATAGGCAAACATTGCACTTATGAGTTAACTTTAACTACCTTTTTGAACAAATGAGTCTTCTTTTATTCATGTTTTCTGAATTCAAACTTTACTTATTTTAAAAATCAAAATGAGTTGTAACTACATGAAACAATATAGAAGATAAATAAAACGAATAGAATTGGCAGGGGAGGTAGGGACGAAGACTTAGTTACTGGAAAAGAAAGGAGGCGGTTTGAAGAATGCCTTATCTAGGGTTGATTTGGTTTGGTTTTTAGAGACTGCCGCTCTGGATCTTCTTTATCTCTGCTTTCATTAAAGCCACATGGAACATCTTTCTGCAGTATCAATATTATGTGGCAGTAAGTGGTATAAGCCTATTTATAATCATTCAGTTAACAGATTTTACTAACTACCCACTGAGACCAGGTTCTGTTTTAGACCTGGAGAAGTGAGGAGAGAAGGTAAGGAATGAGCTGAGAAGGCATCTTAGAGAAAGTGAAACTTAAACTGACATCGGAGGAGTGAGTAGTAAACTGCCTTGTAAAGCAGAGAGAGGAGCAGTACTGGTCAGTAGGAGACTGGAGAATATAATGCTAGGCAAAGGGC